TACACCGTTGTATTCTGGGCTGTATGCGGGGGTGAACTCCTGCTTGATGCAGTACTTGCGGCACAGCTTTCCGAACTCTCCCTCGAAAAACTCTCCTCCGTTGTCAGACCGCACGACCATGACCTCGGATGGGGCTCCGTCTGCCCGGTTTTCCGCTAGGTATCTCTCGAATGCTTCTGCAGCGTCTGACTTGTTTTTCAAGAAGTAGACGCGGTTCCACCTCGTGCAGTCATCCCTTACAATGAGAGTGTACCACTTCCCCCCCAAGCTCTGCACCCTTGCCCTCCCACTCAAATCCACAAAAACTCTCTGCAGCTTCTTAACTGCACGGGTGGACGTCCTGTTGGGGATGGGCTTGGATAGCCCCTTTGCCGTCGAGCACCCCATGCACTCCCGGAGCTGGCCCACCAGCGTCACCCCTTGCTGCTTCGCCGTGTTCTTCAGCAGCACCTCGTGGGAGTGGCCGTGCGCGCAGTGGAAGTCGTTGATGTCAACGGGGGTGCGGTTCGCTTTCGCGTTACCAGGAGCAATTATGGCACAGGCTAGTTCCCTACCCGAGTCTATGCGGTGACCAGTCTGAACGAACAGGTCCCCCCATAGAGGGAAGTACACCGACTCCCCCCCACCAACGAACACCTCCAACTCACGCTCGTCTGCGGCTAAGCGGCCCTTGGTTTGCTTCAAAAGGGCTGTGAGGGACACGAGGTTGTAATTCAGCTCCGGCACATGAGCGACCCGTTTCAACAGCAGGTCTGTGGTCCCAACGCGAGAACCGATGGTCACCCTCACGTCGCCGTAGCCTACTATGGCGAAGGCTTGCTTCCCTGCGGCGACACTCAAACGTCGATCGCACTCATGGTAGTTTTCGAACGCGTTAGCGCTCGGGAACATGTGGTTGGTTGCGCCGGTATCGGCCACAAACCTTTCCTGCCTGGCCTGCTCTACACCCCCTCGATCAACGACTCTGTTCCACTCGCCTGTGAAGTCACGGACCACTAGCGCCTCCTCTGCCACGTCCAGTGCGGTGGCGTCCAAGACCGGCAGCTCCACCGCGAGCACCGCCTGCTCGGACGAGCACTTGCTCTTGTCGTGTCCGTAGCCCAGGCATTTCTCGCATCGCAGGGGCTCCGGCTTGGTACAGGCGGCCGCCTGGTGACCCTTCTCTCCGCACCGGAAGCAGCGGCCGTGCATGCTACCTGCACCGCCGCCGCCTCCGCCGCTGTTGCCACCACCACCGCCCTTGCGACCACCCCCTTTCCCCTTCTGGCTGCCACCGCCGCCGCCGCCCTTGCTGTGGCCGCCGCTGCTGCGGCCGGGCGCTCCGCCCCTGTTGCCACCGTCGCTCGCGAGGAAAGCATGCTCCGCCTTCCGCTGGCCCTTCGTGGCCCTCCTCCCCTCCGGGAGGCTCGCGTGCACGGTACTGACGACCCTGATTATCTCGCCCCGGTCCAGAGTTGTAGCCGTCTCCAACAAGAATTTGGCTTGTTGGTACTCGGGTGGAAGGGCATCGACAAAGTGTGCGAGAACAAAGGGTGTGTCAGCGTTGAGCCCTTTTTCCCGCAGTCGTGAGTACAGCAGCTCGAGCGTGTATAGATGCTCGACAGGGTTGCTGTTGCTGTGTGCGGGGATCGTGAATCGAAACATCTTCTTCATGAGGGCTTGTTTCGAGCCCTGCGACTCCGGGTTGTGTACTTTGTCGAGTTCCGCAAGAATTTCCTTTGCGGTCTCGCATTTGTTCACGATTGCCTTGTCGGCTTCTCGGACGATGGCTGTAGTCACAAAGTGGAACGCCTGGAGGCCCCTCTGAACCTCATCACTTGTGTAGCCCAAGCTATACAGCTCCGAGCTAGGCCTGTTTGGGTCACCGACGGGTGCGTGCTTCTCGGCGTTGCCGATAAGCTGCCCGTCCAAGCCTACGGTTTTCGCGGCTTGAATAAGGGCCTTTCTCCACGAGTCGTACCCGTGGCCGCGACTCTCCCCTTCGAGACGCGGTGCATTGACCGTAACACGTTTTTGGCTACTACTGCTGTACCCATCGAAAAATGCTCCGGCCCCTCGAATTGCGGTTTGCTCACCTTGGGGGCTTAACCCCCTCGCTTCCCCGCGGTCCGGTCCTACGCCCGGGCTCATTCCGGCTGGCCCCACAGGATTCGCTCCCGATCTACTTGCCCAGCCAGTCGTCACTCTCGCTGGAACCCCAGGACTCGCTCCCGGTATGTTGTCCCAGCTGCTTTCCCGCGGGTGATTTCGCCCATCACGGGCCGTTTCCCGGGAAAATGCCCCGCCGCCCCCAGGCGGCAGAGCCTCTCTCTGGCTTGGGACGGCAGCACCGCTGCCCCTACTGGCATCGCCCGCCACGGCGTCACCAGGCTCCTTCCTCTTCAACTCCATCACTACGCTCATCAGTTGCGATAACTGGCCCTCCAGCCTCGCAATCGCCGGATCCTCGGCGTGTTGCTGTTGCGTGGCTGAGGTCTCTTCCCCCAGCCCTGCGACGGAACCGCTGTCCGACGCAGACATGACCCGATGCGGCTATCCCTCGAGGGACAATCAACTCTAGAGTGTTTGTCGGCCGTACTCCGCGTACTTATCGGGACTTGTTTGTGTAGTGTATTAACTTCAGACGGTGAGACAACGCCCGTACCCAGGACGCTGTCGTGCTCGGAAAGCAGGAGGAGAAAGAGAGAGTGGCAGCGCGGCTGCTGCACTCAACAAAGGGGGTCCCGGTGCATCATCACCGTACCCCTACCTAAAAGGTTCTACACCATCTGCGTCACACTTGTACGTATGGCTAATGTATCCAAACCATGTCCGTAGACCCACGAACACGTCCAGACATTCCCCCGTCTTGTGACGAGAGTCTGGCCGCCCGCCCATTGAGGGGCCGGGGGGCGATCGCTCCCCCTACAGTACTGATAACGTGGTGATTGCAGTAGTCTAGCCGGCGTGGTGCTGTCTACGATGATGCCGTTCGCCGAAGAAGACCACATCCCTGTGGTGGGTCACGAATACGGTGTACGCGGTGGCTAATTAGCGCTCATCACTTTGTTGCAGGCTAACCCAATGCGTTATTACTCAAATTCCGATTACAACAATTTCCTTTGCGAGGATTTGTACCTACACAACCAGATAGGACCACCCACACCCAGGCTTGTATTGTAGGTGCCTCGGGCTATTTTTTTCAGACTTGTTCAAGAAACTCTTCAGGGAAAAGCGCGTCCCCTACCGACTGAGAACGGCACAAAAGGAGGACAGAGGAGGCGAGGAGGCAAACAAAACAACAGCCAACTCTACCGTCGGCATTTTCATAACGATAAATAAATACAATAACTCTAAAACAACAGCGACAATGAGAGCAGCAAGTACATACAGGCACCTGTGCAGCATGCTTCATGAAAGAGAGAACAACCCACCAACGTGAGAAAAAAAATCTGATTCCAGTCTCCTTCCCCTGTGGCGTATCGACAAAAACTCAAAGATCGCACAAGGGCAGACTGAACACGGGCCACACTGCAAAGGCCCCAACACAAAAACCGTTGAACAAACCTTCCTGCCCGTATGCCCTCATGCTCTTATCAGGAGATCGACGCAAGAAAGCGTTGACTCAAGACACTTCTGACGTTCACGTCATGTAGATATCGTCTTAGTGAGCGAGAGCGTCCTCCATCGAGGAGAGGCTCTGGCTCAACTGTCAATTGGCAGGAAACATGGTCCCCAAGGCTTCATACCCAATTCTCGAACTCCCAAAACCTCAGTAGATCGGTATCACACGTTGTACCTTGCCCTGTTGTTCCCATGGGAATGCTTCAAACTGAATGTAAGAAACGCAACTGTGCAAAAAAACATGGCTGTGTCATATGCGTACAGGTATGGGAAAACGACACACTATAACAATGGCCTAAAATTGAAGTCCAATGTATCGCTCCTCTCCGAACCGAACCAAGTTTCAGTGGTTGAGAGCCAGGTACATGTACTTGCTTCTGTATTACTTTTCAAATAGAAAAGTGGGTGAAAGTCTTCATCGAAGTGCCAACATTGCAACCCCCGCCTCTCATTCCTTGGCGGCATGGGTGTGAACTAAACCCATGACATGAATTTCTCCCTATTTGCCCCAAAAATTGGAACCTCATTTCATACGCTCTACACCGCGACGGTGTAAACTAAATCAATGACATAACGTTTCCATATTTTCCCACCAACATGAACCCCCACCTCTCACTCCTCGGCGTCATGGGTGTAAACCAAAAATCCATGATGTATGACTTGTTCCATATTTCCCCAACAATGCAATCCCATGCCATGCGCTCGACACCGCGACGGTGCAAACAAGTTCATGACATACCTTTTCCGTATTTCCCCAGCAACTGCAACTCCCACCTATCACTCCTCCGGCGGCATGGGCGTAAACGCAACCCATGACATGACTTTGTTCCATATTTCCCCAACAATTGCAACCTCATGCGATACGCACGACACCGCTATTCAACACTTCGGTCCTCCAATCTAAAAATCGGTATAGCCCAAGTAAAAGAAAACAAGTGATCCGCGGAAATAGTTTCCCTCGGCACCACAAGAAATGAACCTTGCATAAAAGGTCGACGAGAACAACAAGTGACAACTGTGACACGTCTCTCTGCCATTCAAACTGCTGCGTCGAAGTTGTTGTAACATGAAAGAAGCACATCGAAAGTCAAAAAGCTGTCGTGAACCGAAGCAACTCTCATAATCCGGTGGAAACAACACATGACACATGCAAACGCCGGTGCATATGCAAGGGTGACCATTATTTTATGGAAAGTTCGCATCAGGTGATACTCGCCTGACATGACAGAAACTTATGTATATATGTAAAAAAAAAAAAAAATCGCTTGCCAAGCTAATAATGACAACGTAAAACTGCCGGTGCTGAACACCAGCGAAACCTAACTGCTCTTGGTTGTTTAACCGTTGTAAGAATTGGGAGCAACAACGACATTTATGCGCGAGACTCACCCCGCATGCTACCCTGCTTTGCGCTTGAGCAGCGCGTCCAAGGCCGCAGAAAAAATGTGCTTCGCCCTTAGAACAGGATCTCGCCAAGACCCTGCGATGGGGACCCACATCCGCCCCCTCTCTGCCACGGCCAGGGGGGGTATCATCTTGGACTGCAGCGGGGCCCCGTGCCCCCCGCACTCGGTGGAGAAGAATGAAATCCTGTCTCCGTTGAGCACCCCTGCCAGCTGGCCGAAGGTCGAGCACCCCATGAGCAAGCCGTCCGCGTGGACCATGCACGACAACGCCTCGGCGGCGTTCCGTCCGAGGTGAAGGAGGACGGGCCTGCCCTCCACGCGGAAGGTGCCCTTTCGCGACGCCGGGGCGCCCTGTTCGGCCGCGTTCCGCAGGCAGACGGAAACCTTTTCGTTCGACAACGAGAAAAGTCGGTGGAGCGACACATTCAGATCAACCTAACCCGGCAGAAGAGCGTCAACAAAGCTCACGTCCCCCCCTTCACCGTAGATGGAGCTTATGTGTGCGTCATGGGCCGACGAGAACAATCGTTTCCCTCTTTTGAATAGGATAGCGGATCATGCGCCTGACGTTGGCGTCGACCCGATTACCCGATCCGCCGGGTTACAAAAAAGGCCGAATCAAGGGTACAGTGGTGTATCATAGCGGAAGCTTTGGTATTAGCGCCATGGTACCGTTGGAAAGACGGTTTGGGTGTTTACAGGTGATCAACTCCGCCGGGTTACAAAAAAGGCCGAATCAAGGGTACAGTGGTGTATCATAGCGGAAGCTTTGGTATTAGCGCCATGGTACCGTTGGAAAGACGGTTTGGGTGTTTACAGGTGATCAACTCCGCCGGGTTACAAAAAAGGCCGAATCAAGGGTACAGTGGTGTATCATAGCGGAAGCTTTGGTATTAGCGCCATGGTACCGTTGGAAAGACGGTTTGGGTGTTTACAGGTGATCAACGCAGCAAGCGCTATCTAGCTCAAAATCTGAAAATGCAGAAGTCGACAAGGCAATTTCCACAAAGAAATATCCTAACATGAGATCACAAGTATTCCAGGTACTAATTTTCCACGGAACGCCCCGTGCGAAATACCAAGGTCAGGCCTTGCCTTGCCATGCTCACCTGGTCGCGCTCTACCGGCCATAACGGGAACTCAGTGAACGTTGCGTTCTCTGGGGAGGGGCACGGGTAGAGGGCTTCGGAAAAGACGTGAAACATTGGTGCGGCCTGTTCTCTCTCCACGACCGCTTGCGTTACGGTCGCCATGAAGTCTTCCAACAGGGAGAAGTACTCGGGGGTCACTCCCTCCAACTCTCGTCTATCTCCCATGCGCACGTGCAGCGCAAAGTTTAGCTGGGACTCCTCGTATCCACACCCTGGTTCGTCATTATACCTGATAGATTCCCAAAAGTCGCAAACGAATGAACGCATGGCGTGCGCATGTGTCTCGCAGAGCGAGGTATTGCGTGTCTCGCCCTTAGCAGTGCTCACGACGGTCTCAGTCCCACAAAGTTCCCTTTGTGAAGCAAGATGTGTCCGTGCTATGAGAAAGATCTCTTGACGGTAAAAGCAAGACTGTGCGGTTTTCTTGGCAGTGTCTTCGATGGGGACATCATCATCAGCCCCGCCGTCTTGATTGCTGTTGTCAGGTTACCAGGATGATGCTATTGCTGCTGTATCAGCCGAGTTGGACATTTTATCATCTGGCCCTCACGAAGGTGGCCAAGACTCTGGGCACCACCAAACATCACGAGCTCAAGGTATCGAACAACACCCAAAGCAACGTGCTTGCAACAGAAGTATACGGGGTCGCCGCCCGCATTCACCCTTGCAAACGCTTCGAAGCAATCAGTTGAACGTGCCCCATCCTTGGGTATGTTGACCGACACATGTCTTTGCTGCAGGCACTTGTCCCGCTGTTGTCCATCCTGCGCAACCAAACCCTAATCCAACGAAAACAGCAAATTCAAGCCCATTTCGAACCGGATTGTTTGGGGTGTCGGCGCGTGTACTATGTTATCACGCTCGCGGGCTCTTGTCGAGAGCGTGTTGCACAAAGGAGTGACTCAAGTTCCTTGATTAACTATTTACGAGTGAGAGACATGGGCAGGCAAGCAGAGCCTACGCGTCAAGTCCATCGCACCCATCATGTACAATATCTATCTGCGTAACCCCCGGAGATCTCGGAGATTCGTATCCTGCCGAGTACACACACAAACAGCCCCCCTACTCGGTACGAGACACGATTACGAGATCCTCCGTACATATATCGCCAAGTAAAACGGCAACAATTCAAACCATTCACCTTTTGTATCCACAAATCATCTCAACTCCCGGATCTATCGAATACTCAAATTTCAGGTTACTCCTTCTTCTTATGACTATGGAACTTCACTAAGAGTCTTAACAAGCACCCCTCTCGAGAAAACGTCGTCACCACATTCTCAAGCAGTCAAAAACAAAGAATTATACTTGGAAAATACTTGGCAAAGATCAACATTACATCAGAGCCACGTCATAAAGGACGGACAACTCTGGCAAAACGCGTCAACAAATACCTCGAACAAATTTCTCGCACAAGACTGTGTTTCAACTCATTGACCAATTTAAAATAAGCTTCGGAAGCACACAGGCCTCAACCATGTCTTACCAAAATATGCCAAATCCTTCCTCCAGTACATCGTTCAGAACCACCATCAATACCAAATACATACGGCAAAAACAGACAAAGGTTAAAAACCCGGCGGTCGAAGACGCCAGAGGAAACTTTCACCAATTATGCCGTTTCTCAAACATCAAGACATGGATTTCTTAACAGCCCTCCTGCTGCAGTATCTCCCAAAACATAAAAGCTTAACAGCCCCCCTGCTGCATCATCTCCCAAAACACAAAAGCTTAACAGCCC